TTTTATTCATTTTAATAAATAAATTATATTAGTTTATTGATCAGTGATAACACGTCGAAAGAATTGATAATGAATATTGAATACGATCAGGTATCTAAAAAACGCATTATTAAAACGATATGGTAGTGATGAATGATTTATCCTAAAGTTAATTAGCGTACTGGGAATTTATGTGCCTCGAAACAACTAAAAAATGATTTTATGTACTAAAAATACAAAGTAATGTGCTTGATAAATACATTTAAACTATAACAAAGATGGATTGATTCAGATTTAATCAACCTTAGTTTTAATTTTATCATTTATCACTTATCAATTTTAGGTCTAAATTAATCATTATGCTTTTTATAGCTATACTTTGGAATCAACATTTGTAATTTGTATCAAACATTACTCTATAGCAGTATCGAGTGTTAGCTTTTGTGTATTACGTATGTGGTTTGTTGATGGAAGAAATTAGTTTAACCTACCGTGATAAACTTTTTTTTTATTTTGTTACAATATTTATTTATACAATTTGATAAAAAAAAATTCAAGTGATGCGGGAGTTGTTGGATAGGAAACTTGATGGAAAAATCCATCCTGTGATTTTTTTTTTTTTTTAATTTTTAATTCTTGACAGTTAAACCGTATTATACTAATAGCAAAATAAATAACTCATAGCAACATAAACATAATATAATAAAATATTATTAGAAACGTAGGCTATGATTCTGTCTGTCTCCGTTCAGAATCGTTTTTCGTGTGCAATATAATTTATCGTTGAACTTAAATTTAACATACTCGTAATGGGCATTATAGCCATGTATTATCACAGTGATAGTGCCAATATGTAGTAGACTACTCATTGCGAGGTACTCGAAACCTAATAAACTACAGCTTCTACAATTCTTTACTTCTGACACGCCAAAGAACAATTTTTTACCAAAAACTATCTTAAAAATTGTAACATTTTTACTGCTCCAAAAAAAAAAAAACACTAACTTAAAAAAAAACTACACAGTATAATTATAAGATAAACACATTCATCGCTCCACTTAAAATTTAAAATTTTCGTTAAATCAATTTTTTTTTATTCAATATTTATTTTTCTTTAGTGAAATATAAAAAAAAAAAAATGTATTTCATACGTATATGAAATTAACCCTCCTCTACATTGTGCATTTTTTTGAACAAACTGTAAATAAATGAATAATTATAAATTTAACTCCCAAATCTGTAAATCATCAGAGAACTCAAGATGTACAAAAAAGTTTAGATTGTGTGGGGGGAGGTGGCAGCTTTTGGCCGATCGACTCCAGATCAATTTTAAAGTATAAAATTTATATTTTCATCATTTTGAATACTTAAAAAGCAAAATCGGGAGTGAGAGCAATTTTAAGTTTCACCCTATTTTGGCCGATCGGATTTGACACAATTCGGCCAACTACATATTGGCTAACTTTGAGTTATTGAATACTTTAAAATAATTGAATAAACTATTTTAAAGAAAAAATCGTCCAACTACTTTTTATGCTGATAATTTAAATAATTTATCTTTTAGTAATTCATTTTAAAACTATTTAACTGAGCCACACTCTTCCATCGTCTATACGCGGTAAAATATTTTTTACCATTACGTATTTGTATTTGATATTTATTGAGACATTGAATGGTCTTTAAGCTGTTTAATGATGGTACTACTCAGACATTATAGATATTCAGACCTGTAAATACTACAAGTAGTACCATAAAAAATGTGTAGACCATTAAAAGTCCAACTTTATGCACGTGTATTATATGACATATTTTTAAAACTCAGTTGTCTGATGAATTCAGTCCAAATAGTATATCTATAGTTATGTTATCCTGAAAATTCCATCCATTTCTGTTCATATTTTAACTAATGCCCTATAAAGGGTTAAAAATCATCTTGGTGAACTGATCGTGGTGTCGCTAACCGTTTTAACCTTTCAGAAGCAACATATTTCAGCGCTGATTTTTTGACCTGAAACATAAGTATTTTTACAATTCAATTATTCTAGTCTTAAAAATACTGTTAATACTWTTGTAACGATTTTTAAATCATAACATATATTATATTAACATAATATGTACAATTAATAAACACCTATATATTATTATATATACATTTATTTATATCTATACAATATCTTTACTATAAGCATATAACATGTATATTATCCTGAATATTATTATTAATATATATATATATATATTAAGTGTTGATTACTAATAATATTGAATATTCTGTATTCATGTATATCTGCTTTTAGTTATTTTCCCAGTTATTTTAGTTATATTCAATAAAATGCTAAAAACTGTTATGGAAAGCATCTTCAGGTATGCAATTGAAAAAAGTGACCATGTTTGTGGTCATTGAGATGAAAAAATTCATATAATATTATAAAAGATGAACACATACATGTATTTGCGCTTTAGTCGATAATCGATGTTTAGTAAAATTTGGTCATAATACTGTAAAATTAATACTTACCGAAAATGTGTCCGTCYTAATGTGTTCGGCTATGTCAGTCCGTTTCTGAGCTACGGACAATTTTTTTAACCTCGGCAACAACATCCATAAAGGTACTGTGCAACAATTGCACTGAAGACAAGTTTAATAATTTTATCATAAAAATACTAATGTAACTTATTTATTTTAGAMACATGTATTGGGTGATCCACGTAGGTAGGATCTTAARTTGTTMAAATCCATAATTGTTTCCCCATTTTGTACATCGTTATAATTTGTATAATAATTATAAAATTTGAATTCCTAGCTTATACCAAAGAAGATTATTTTTTAGATTACTTTGATAAATRTAAAAATTGAATTTTAGACAAGTAGTCTATAAGTATTTATAAGTATTTCAAGATTAGATTGCCGTAATGGAGTAATACAGCCGATAAAGGGTAATCCGTAAAATATTGGTCCAACTCTTTGATCATCTAAACTTTAAATAATATTTATCTAATAAATAACAAGTCCGAAATTGTATATTGAAGTACTTATTAAAATAATCAAGCAATATCTTGCTTCGAAAAACGTTGTCTATTAAAAGAGTAAAAACTTAGTATAAGATGACGATAAAAAATATAGTAAAAAAAAATTTTTTTTTGAAAATGTTTTATTGCAATGACTTAAAACTATATAAAAGATATATTTCTGAAAA